GTATTCAACCACTCCGTATTCCTGCCAAACCAGTCCATGTCTCTTAAAACAGGACAGTATCCATCAAGGCCATTCTGATCTCTCCAGGATCCCTGCAAGCCAACCGCTGGCCTCCCACTTCACGCATTCTCCACATTGCAGCCAGGGAACTTCCAAAAGGCAACTCTAATGTCATTTACTTGCCAAATTCCTTTTCTACTTTGAAAATTATTTGTTTATAGCATGCAAATAATTTATAATCTCAAAAAATATAATTTTTACTTAATCCTCCAGCCTCAAATATCACCATTCTTTCTTTGAGGTCTCTGTCTAGCCACAGGAATCTACTTTCATTCCCTGATAAGATTAAATTGCCTTTCTTCCCATCTAGTTGATTGTGCTAGCTTTTATATATAGGGTGTCCCAAAGAAATGTATACACATTTGAATAATTATAAAGGCAGTGTTTATTGAAATACATTTCATTTTCACAAGTGAGCTATCAGCTTTTACAGTGTGCATACATTGTGAGGGGACACCCTCTATATTCTTTAAGACTCAGTTCACCTTCCTTGAGAAGCCGTACCAAGGTTGTGCCAGGTGATCCCCCACAGGCTCTCATAGCTCCCTCACCTGCATGGTATCTAACATATTAGTAGTCTCACTCCTCAGTCTCCACTAGATCATACATCCCCTAAGTAAGAAATATTTTGTACTCGTTGAATTATACCTTTATGCATAGTATGCTCGATAGCACATTTAAGTGACTGATATATCTGAATAAATTAAAAATTCTTTAGAAATATGTATCTTTTAACCATTTTTGTGAATCATATTGCTTGAGTCTTTTCTCTGGCTACCTTCGAAACCAGAATTTTTAGATTTGTGATCTTGGGCAAATTATACCTCTCAACTTTTAAGTTCCTGATCTATAAAATTGGAATAACAATAGTACCTTCCTCATAGGGTTATTGTGAGGATTAAGAGTTGATACGTGCAAATCATTTACAACTGATATCTGGAAGTCCCCAAAAGCTCTCAGTTACCAGCTCTTACTATTATTGTCACTGTTACTCTTGTTATTTCTATTCTCCTATAAGGTGGAACGCTTAATGTTTAACATTCATGAGCCAGGGCGCAAGACACATTTTACAAATTAAAAAACTGAGGAGACTTAAAAACCAGAGGCAGCAAGAAAAATAGTTGTGAGTCCCCAAATCTTTTCCCTGTCCCCATGGGAAGGCACAGTGGGACCAGACACACATTGAACACATTATGGGTAAAGGCTTCAGGAGAGACCACTCTCTTATAGGACAAGCATGAGCAACTTTGTTAATAAAAAGAGAAGAAATTGCTGGCTTAGCACCAAGGAGTCTAGATTTGGGTGTCAACTGTTTACCGTTGTCTGGGAAAGTCAGGTCCCCAGCAGCCAAGGGCTTTGGGGCCAGTGGGAGATGGTAACCCCCTGGGCAGGAGGAAGAAGCCACTGGGACTACAGGAAGCTGAGTTTGGGTCCAGTCTTGCTCTCAGGGAATAAAGAGAGCCCCAGTCTTCCCTGGCTCGCCAGAGTGAGACATGAGATCATTCTGGACAATGCTGTTTGAGGCACCATTGTTTTAATATTTCCTTCATAGAGGAATTCAGTTGCTATCCTGCTTGTGCTTTGAATCCATCTTGGGTACCTTGAGCCTCCAGGTTTTCTGAGAATCTGCTCCTCTATTAAGATAAATCCAAAAATGTCTTCCAATAACTTTTGTTAAGTCAACATTTATTAATGTGTCAGGCACTGTACTAAATAATGAAAATGCAAAATATAGAGAAATAATTCCTGTTTTCAAGTATATGTAGCTTTAAAGGAAAGGCAGGTGAAAAATTATAATACAATGAAATATATGCAATAATAGAAATGTGTGCAAGACTCAGAGCATTCAGAAATGACTCTGTTTAGCCAGAGATTAGTTTGCAAACTATGAAGTAAAATTTTTTTTATTTACCCAGAAAAGTAAACTTAAGAACCAAATAAAAACACCAAATAAAAACACTGAAAGCTAATTAGTAGATGCTATGACAAAAGACAGCTTGGTAATCACCCCTAAAATTGTGTAAATTAATGTAAAATTGCCGAGGAAAATGTTATATCAGGAAAACTGAAAGGCATTTCTGCAGAATAGCCAGAGGAAATTTTCGGAAGCTAAAATGAACTATGTTCAGATTCCATATCTGTCACCTATACTGTGTGAATTCAGGCAATTTTCCTAACCACTCTACATCGAAACTTTAAGGACAGGGATAATAATCTACCATGTTGTGTTATTTTAAGCAGTAAATGAAGAAAAATATGCAAAGCACCTACCACATGATAGATACTCAGTAAAGGCAGCTAACTTTTTTCTCAGAATATAACCTCAGTTGTCATCCACTTTATTCTAAGCTCTTGTAATTGGGTAACTGTGGCAAATTGACTAGAGAGCTCTCTTGGAAGCTCTCTGGGATCTTCAGGTCTTTTTAAAGTGGAATTCTACCCATTTTTCTCAGTACTTTTCAAAACTGTCCACAGTAGATTTGAGGTGTTACAAGCATTTTTACACACATCCTATTGTGCTAAAATGTGTTGCAAAATGTCTTAAAACCCAAGCCTCGGCGGTAGCAAAGGTATTCAGAAAGCAGGTAAGAAAAAATCCTGTTTAATAATGGAATGTAAAATGAATAGAAAAATGCTGGTATTCTGACAGGTTAAAGTGTTCTGGTCACAAAGACACTGATGGGATTATGAGAAATTTCCTATTGTAAAAAAATATAAATATATATTTAAAAAATTAAAAAATAAAGCTGAGTAGTTCAGAGGTTCCTAAAGGAATTTTACTGCTCCTTTTTTAAAAAGTATATATTTTATTGATTTTTTACAGAAAGGAAGAGAGAGGGACAGAGAACTAGAAGCATCGATGAGAGAGAAACATCAATCAGCTGCCTCCTGCACACCCCCCACTGGGGATGTGACCGCAACCTAGGTACATGCCCTTGACCGGAATTGAACCTGGGACCCTTCAGTCAGTTGGCTCTATCCATTGAGCCAAACCTGTCAGGGCTTACTGCTCCTTTTTACAAACTGTCTCTAGGATAAATTACAGGTATTGTAGAGTTATGTTAAGTGGTGTTAATTTTAAACAAAATTAAAATAATATGTGGGGTTTTTTTTAATTACAGAACATGTGTAGATGGCACTATAATAAAGGGTATTCTATTAGCAATATTAACATTTGCACTTCTATATTTTTATTGTCAAGAGAGTGCAGGGGTGAGATTGAATTGTGTTTGTATTTAAATATTTATTTTCCTCAGTTTGCTCACCTCAAAAATGAGGAAAATAAACCCTTTTTCTTTGCCTTTCTCCATGAGATGATACAAAAAAGGCTCATATGAATTCCTTTGAACACTTCATTAAAAAATAAGTTACAGCCGAAACCGGTTTGGCTCAGTGGTAGAGCGTCGGTCTGCGGACTGAAAGGTCCCGGGTTCGATTCCGGTCAAGGGCATGTACGTTGGCTGCGGGCACATCCCCAGTAGGGGATGTGCAAGAGGCGGCTGGTCGATGTTTCTCTCATCGACGTTTCTGGCTCTCTATCTCTCTCCCTTCCTCTCTGTAAAAAAACCAATAAAATATATTTTTTTTTAAAATAAGTTACATAAATTCTGGGTTAATTTTAATGCATTGTTAAGAAATTCCCAAGTGGATCATATATTAATATAATCAATATCTTGCCTTATCTACTGATTATATTACAAAAATAAAAATAAAACCTCATCATTCACTTGTTGCTCTTAACTTTGGTTTTTGTGTGTGTTTTTAACATTGACTTCTTTTTTTATTGTTTAAAGTACATAGTCTCCTTTTTTTTTTTTTTTTTTTACGAATTTACCTTCTAGCCTCCCCTACCTTCCCCCCACCCTACCCTCCACTCCCCACCCCCCCCTCCCCGCACATGCCCTCACCCCCCTCCCGGTGCCTTGTGTCCATTGGTTATGCTTATATGCATGCATACAGGTCCCCGTCCCGTCCCTCCCCCCTCTTTCCCTCACCGCCCCAACCCTTCCCAGCCTTCCCGCTTTTGTTTGACAGTCTGTCCGATGCTTCTCTTAAAAAAAAAAAAAAAAAAAAAAAAGATACAGAGGGAAAAAAGCATCTAACTTTGGCTTCTTATAGAGAGTTCTTTCTCTAGAGCTGTGCTCCACCATAGATTAGCCACTAGCCACATGTGCCTTTTTATATTTTAAATTTTAAATTTTAAAATGCTAGCAATTGGCCACACGTGACCAGTTGCTAACATTTTGGACAGAGAACATTCCATCATCACAGAGAGTGCTATTGGCAGCGCTGGCCCAGAGAATGCTGGGCTGAATGCCCCTGTTGCCCTGTAGCCTTAAGCTAGCCATTGATAACATTTCAAAGATGAAATGATCTTAGAAGTTATCAGAGGGCCTACAATCATGCATCAGACTAACGGAAAGCCAGGAACAAGTGAAGAGGAATTCAATAGGCAATAAAGAAGAAATGATAACTAGAAAAAGAATACACATGGACTTACTATAAAAGGATAAAAATTTTATTCAGGAGTTCTTCAGCAGAAGTATATTTTACTTAAAACATTTGTTACACCTGGTTTGCACTAAATGTATCATTCTTATGCTGACTTTCTGATGTCCTAAATGAGTTCTGAGATATTCCAGCTACACCACACAAAAACTATTTCTTAACATTATGATGAAACTTAACCTCCCTTCTGTACACCACGTGTTTAAAATACATATTTTCCTCTCAGAGAGATTAGAGGATGCTGTGGAGATTCTTGCAATTTTCCTTCACAATTTTTATTTTCCTTGTCTGGACCATTTGAATTCACAAGTAGTTTTCATATTTACCAATATTTTGTTTTTTTACTTCCTATATAAAAAGGAATTATAATTTAGCATATGTATTATCTGACGCCCAAAGTAAGAGAATAACCTGTGTATGCTTGCATTTAGGTCATTCTGTCCATTGAAGAAGGTTACAGACTTCCCGCTCCCATGGGCTGCCCAGCGTCTCTGCACCAGCTGATGCTCCATTGCTGGCAGAAGGAGAGAAATCACAGACCAAAATTTACTGACATTGTCAGCTTCCTTGACAAACTGATCCGCAATCCCAGTGCCCTTCACACCCTGGTGGAAGACATCCTTGTGTAAGATGCATAGAGTTGATTTTTCTCCTTTGACAATCAATTTCTTTCAGGCTATAAGACAGAGTAATAGAGAGGAGGAAGTTTGCCTTGATAACCACCTAGTTGTCTACCTTTTAGAAAACGGTGTACGAACTATATTTTACTTAACAGCTGCAAAGGAATGTATTAACATTTTAGAAAATTGTGGGGTTTTTTATTCACAAGAAAATAGGTTCCCCTTTTCTTTTCTCCATATCTAATCTTTCTGAAATTTTTTATACTTGTCCTATGTGGGTTTCTGTTATTTATATATCCTTTATTTACTGATCCTTCCTTACTTTTATAAGTAGAATGTGTGCATGCCTGCAGCCCCTTTAATTTTCTTGTCCATTATATGTATGTTCTGTCCCTCTATTTGAAATGTCAGGCAAAATGGGCAATTTGTGAACCTGCCAGGAGCAAGGATGTTTCCTGCTGATATGATCACACCCAGCTGTTGTTACTTTTCATTCCTAAAGCCAGAGAAAGACAAGAAAATGAAGGCACTCGTATCCCACTTTATAAAAGATTTACTCACCTCTCTCTGAAAAGCAATTATAAGAAGGGAGAACGTAGAAGGAAAAAATAGTATCATCTGTGTCTGAAATTATTTACATTTAAAATATTTTTATTAAGTTGAACATATATTTCTTTAGGCCAAATTGGACTTAAAAGTAACCAAAGCCTTTCCAAAACTCACTTTCCTGGCTCAGAGGATGGCCAGCAGGATACACAGATATTTAACTTTAGGTCACAAGTTCAAGTCAGCATGGTTTTTAGTAACAATAAGGCCGGAGGCTCTTCGAGGACTGCTTAAAACAGGCCTGAGCTCACAGCAGAGCACATGTGTTCGCCTCTAAATCACTAATTGGCATCCTGAGTAAAGTGAAGCCAAGCATGAAATAGCCAGAGATTACGCTATCACTCTAGCCATCTTCTCTAAAGCAGTCCAAGCCAGGAAGCTGTAAAGTAGGGATGGGTGCGAGGTTGGAAGGCCCTCTGGATTTTACCACAAAAGCTACGACAGCCATTGAAGATTTTTGAGCAAGAGAATGGCAAGATTACGTTTGCAGTTCTTAAAGATCACCCGAGGATGTGATGTAGACTGGAGTAAAACACAAGGAGACTGGAACACAAGGAGACAATTATATATTTGCAGCAATACAAGCTAGAAAAAAATCAGGGCCTGACTTATGAAATGGGAAATAGGCTTGGGGTCAGGAGATTTTAAAAATTAATTTATTATTAAGCAAGAAAAACAAATGTGTCTTGGTCATTGATTGAATATATAGCGAGAGAAGGACAAAAAAGAATCAAGGATATTTGTCAAGTTTTTTTCTTAGAAAGCTTGTTGGTGCTATTACTACTAAGAAGGGCAAGATTTTGGAATAGAAAGGAGACCACTTTGAGCATGAGTAGAAAGGTCCTAGAGGCAGTTATATGTGTAGATTGAACCTCTGGTGAAAAGATCTAGGCTAGAGATACAGGTTTGAAGATCATCAGCTTATAGATTGTAGCAGAAGCTTTAAGTGTAGTTAAGGTAAACACTGGAGATTAAAAAGAATACAAATTAACAGGAATAGAATTCAGTCCTCTGGAACACCAAGATTTAAGAAATAAACTGAAAGAGAGTACAACAGAAGAAGAGCCAGGTAGGTAACGAGGAAAGCAGGGGCGGAGTGGTATCATAGAAGCCAGAACGGGAGTGAGATCCAAGGCTCCACAAAGCTTCGGGAAGAGAAAAGGGGAAGTATATCCATTGAATTTATTTTTTTCCCACTAATCCCCCATCTACCCTCTTCCACCACCACAACCCCCTGCGCTGCTGTGCTCTCCTCTTCCCCACCCCCACAGTCACCACACTGTTCAATTGAGCAACAAGGTGCCCAGGTGTTCATGGGCAGCCTTTGCAAGAGCATTTTCAATAAAGTTGTGTAAGACAGATTGCAGTGGAGGAGGAGGTCAGAAAGAAGAGCAATATAAAGTACAAGTCTGGTATTGTTTTTGTTTTCCAAGAAACCTGTCTCTGAAGAGAAAGAGAGTTAGAGATAATGTCTTTATAATATGTTTGTGGAAGAGTCATGCATGCCTGAACTTTGAGGAGAAAGAGCTAGCGGGAAGGGCTCAGGGAGTGAGTCTGTGTTAATGAAAGAACACTGGCCCCTGTAAACTGAAATCGCTGATTCGGGCTTCTCGTTATGGTGTAGGGTCGCCGGGCCCCACAGCCAGTGCTCCCCAGCAGAGCTCTCCAGCTGCTCTGTGGCTATACAAGCAGGCAGGTAAGAGTTTGTTGTTGTTTTTTTGTTTTTGTTTTTGTTTTTAAGAAAGAGATAAAACAATTTCTTCCTGCTTTTTCAAGATTATGAATGTCCGTCATATTTGGAAAATATTGATGAAGAATCTAATATGAGAAAATACCAAAAGTCAAAATGATGATAAGAGTTGATATCAAGAAGAGGGCTCCTTGTCTGAGGGCCAGAGGCCTGTGCCTCAGTGGGGTGTGCGGTGATGAGTGCACAGGCCAGTGAACGGCGGGCTCCAGGAGGCCTGCCACCTGAGGGCAGAAGTCGGTGGTTTATACACAGTTGGCAGTTTGACTCAATTCTCAAGTCTAATCTGTGGGAGACCAAATGGAGGTTTGTGTTGCCGATTTGCTGTCCTTGGCACACACATGTGCACTACTGCTGTTGCCCTTAACATACTTTTCTTTGGGAAAACAAAAAGAACCAGTGTTCTAAAGGTATTGTGCTTGAACTTTATCAGCATTGTTTTCCCAATAGCCTGAATGGGACTCCCTGTCCACCCCCTCACCTCCACTGCTGCCCACTCACCCTGTCCCTGCTGCCAAAGCACTGAGACTTGAGGGAGAAGAGACATGGTAGACAAGGGTAAGAATGTTGGGTGAGGAATGCCTCCTTTGTTACATGCTTAGAAAACTGGCACTGCCCCTCGAGCTTAGTGCCAACACCCAGTCGTGTGTCCCAGACTGATATTGGATTAAGGAAATATGACAGATTCCCTCCCATAGAGCTCTCAGACTGGGAAAGGAGTCTTAAGTGTATAACCCACAGTGACTCTTACTAACTAAACTCTCCTGCGCTGGCCTCTTCCCTGCTATCCCCCAAACTCCCAAGGTTCTCTCACACTTCTGCACTGGCACAACTCTCATCCTCTAGGTCCCCATGGCTTTTATTCCACTCTAATTGCTTTTTCTCAAGAATTCACCTGAGAAGATTTTAACCTTTAGAGTATTAAGAGAGGAAGAAATTAAGGCAACAGAGGGGCATGGGGAAGGCTGGGAAATCCACAGCTTAATAATTTTATGCTAACATATTGGAAATTCAATAAACTGTAAATTTTAATATCTATAACATTTCATTTCAAAAGACACACCTAATAGAAATAATGTTGGGCAGAGAAGGCTTTCCCTATTTGGAGCAGCATCTCTAAATAATGCTGGTAGTCTTGGGCCTGACACGCTCCAAGACTACCAGCATTATTGGGAGCATTCAGAGCTCAGTGCAGTTCCCGACCGTCTTGCTTTCTCGCCTCCTCAAGAAGGTGTGTGGATATATTAGGAGGCATCGTGTTATTGTAACCACAACCTTAAACTGATCGTAAAAAAATAATTTTGCAAAAACACCTTTATAATATAGGCAGTTATCCATTCACATGTGTGAATTTCATACTAGTTTCACTTTAATTCACTCTATAATTCTGCCCTATAATCTTCTTTCAAAGAATTATTTGTGTCTGTCACATGGTGCACAGCCCCTGGGAGAAAAGGCCCAGTCTGAGGCCGAGGCCACGTGGGCAATGGCAGCAGGAACACCTCTTTCTCCCTCTTCCCTGACCGCCATGATCCATAGTCAAGCATAGTCCCAGAGTCCAGAGTTACACTTGGGTCCAGTAGTTTAGTAGCATAAAGTGGTTTGATGGCCATATAGGTGTTCTTTCACCCAGCCCTGCCTCCCCCAGCCCCATCCACATTGTCCCGCACAGTCACTCTCCAGCCCACTCGATTCCTCCATACCCGGCAGCCTGCTGCGTGCTCTTTGCTGTCCGCTGGCCAGTGCTCTTCCTCACAGTGCTGCAGGGTAACAGGAAAATAACCCTTTCCTACCATCTCTGCTCCAGATCCCCAGAATGTCATTGACAAAGAATTTTACAGATTCCGGACTCCATGACAACATTAGCTTTAAAAAGGTGACATCCAGGAATGGGCAGCTGCTGGTCAGGTGGACCAGTCTTTGACAGTCACTTGCCACAAAAAAACATATTCTGTTCAGGCCAGGGCACTGAGAAATATTCTCACCTACCTATTGGACCATCGCTAAGGATCTTATAATGTTTTAGCTCTTAGGAACTGGAACCACCACTTTTCTTTAATTTTTATTGTTGAAAATATTACATATGTCCCATTTCCCCCCATTGATCTCTCCCACTCCACCTCCCCCTTGGGCCTTCATCACCCTATTGTCTGTGTCTATGGGTTATGCATACACACATATGAGTTCTTTTGTTGATCTTTTCTCCCCACATAATACCCTTCCCTGCATTCTCTCTGAGGTTTGACAGTCTGTTTGATGTTTTTATGTCCCTGGGTCTATTTTTTTTATATATATATTTTTGTGGATTTTTCATAGAGAGTTAGAAACATCGATGAGAGAGAATCATCGATCAGCTGCCTCTTGCACACCCTCCACCAGGGATGTGCCCACAACCAAGGTACATGCCCTTGCCCAGAATCAAACCCGGGACCTTAGCCCGCAGGCCGACGCTCTATCCACTGAGCCAAACTGGTCCTGGCTCCCTGGGTTTATTTTTGTTCATCAGTTTATGTTGTTTGTTATATTCCACATATGACTGAGAACATGTGATACTTACCTTTCTCTGACTGGCTTATTTCACTTAGCATAATGCTCTCTGGGTCCATTTATGCTGTTGCAAATTGGTAAGAGTTCTTCCTTTTTTATAGCAGC